TGTAGCTCTTTGCCATGTGCCACTCTGCCTTATAATCTGCCAAGTACGGACTGAAACTTCCATGAACTGTAAGCGAAATAAACCTTTCCTTTCTTAATTTTGGGCGTCAGGTATTTTGTCCCAGCAGCGAGAAAAAAGTAACCGAGACAATGGATGGGCAAATGGATGGATGGGTGGGTGGGCAGATAGGCAGATGGATGGATGGGTGGATAGACAGGTGGAAAAATGAATGCCAAAGCTCAGATCTGAGGTATTTGTGTCAGAAATGTTTCTGATAGTTCTATTTTTTAGTTGCCCTTTTTCAGTAGAAAGGAATTTTGGAAATTGGGGAAAATTTGTCAAGGAAGTAAATGAAGACAGGTAAATTTCTCTTGCCTGAAGAGAGAGCTAATGACAACAATAAGGAGGTAAAGGAGAAAAGCTTAGAGCCAGGCTGTGTGGGTTCAAATCTGTCTCATTGTCACCCGGGACCATACCCAGAGGGGCTGCAGTGGTGCTGAGCTCTGTGGATGGGATGTCACTTCTGTGGAAATACTGCACTACAGGACTCCAGCCTGTGTGTGGTTCAGTTGGCAAAGGCTGTGCCAGGCTTGGTCAGTGGCTCTGGGTCTGCTCTGAGAAGGCCAGGCTGCACACTCACTGCTGCATCCTCACTCAGGGAGAGTCACACACGTGTTGGTTTTGGTATCTTCCTTCTCCCCAGTTTCCCCACCATGGTCCTCAGTCCATGTGGTCCCCCATACCCAGAGGGGGCATTGGACCAGGTCTGGCCAGCCAGCATGGTCCACCCTTGGCCACTGCAGTTAGCTCAAGGAGGATGTGCGGCCTGAGTTAATCTCAGGGCATTTCGAGGACCACTAAGGAAGCAAGGCTCTTTTTCCATGGGGTTTGGGGAGAGCAGGTATTGGTTTTTGGTGGCTACTCTGCCATTGTGTGGGTGGGACAGGCTTCCCAGGCTCAGCTGAGTGATGAGGACAGGACCCATACTGATATCCAGTAGATGCAGCTGCCTCAAAGCCAGACCAACTCGGACTTTTCAATTACATGGCCTCCTTTTTTGTTTTATACTTATGTTGGTTTGAATTGGATTTCTACCTTGAAACCGAATGTCTGAATAATATAATCAAATATCCAGTGAAGTATCATTATCTACTGGGTTCAAGTGTTATCATTTCCTTGGCCAACAAACTCTGGGCTCCAAAATATGGACCAGTGCTATGGTTTAGATGAAAAATATCCTACAAAAGCTCACATCCTCCAAAGGGGGGCTTTTGGAAGGTGAATCAATCATGAGGGCACTAACTTCACAGAAGGACTAACCCATCATTGAGTTTGTAGCTGAATGTGCAGGTAGTGGGTGGAGCCTGGTTAGAGGAAGCAGGTCACCAGGGTGTGGTGTTGAAGGGTCTATCCTGTCCCCAGCCCCTTGGTTCTCTCTGGCTCATCCCTGCTCTGACTCGTAGTTGCCATGCTGTGGGCACCTTCCCTCTACCATGCTGTTCCTGCTATGGAACCAGCTGGCCATGGACTAAAATCTCTGAAAACATGAGCCTGCAGAAGCCTTTTTTCCTTTGAGTTGTATATGTCAGGTATTGTGTCGCAGCACCAGAACAGTGACTAACATAAGCAGATATAAGGTAGGATGGTTAGGCTAAAGTTTGAGGTGGACAACAGGGGAAGGGCAAGGTGTCATTACTTATTCCTCTCTCCATTTCTCCTGTTTAGCTTGGATACACAGGGTCCACTCCTTACACTGGGGGAAGAAACATAGAGCCCCTCACATGCTATTGAATGTGTACCTGAGCCAGCCAAAGGACTGGATACCTAGGTGGGGTCCTGGGTTTAGTCCCTCAGGGAGCAGTGTGTTTCATACTAGTGGTAGGTGGGACAGCTGCAGCTCAGTCTCCTGATGGTGCGGCTGCTCTGGTCCTGCCTTCTGAGTGCCAGTGCTACCCTAGTGCTGCATTCAGCTCACCTGTCCTTTGTCTCTGAGCTGTCACTTCACGGCCCACATACCTGGCTACCCATCTGCACTCCTCCCAACAGGCCTGAGAGGCAGCAGTGACACCTGCCCATGCTGAGTCTTAGAGCTGGGAGGGTGACACAGCTGAAAAGCACCAGGTGGAGCCCTGTTTCTCCTTTCCCAGAAGCACACCCACCAGGCCGTCCGTCCCAGGATTACACACTGGTGTCCCAAACCCATCCCTCTCGCCCTGAGCTGGTGTCTGTGTCCAGGCCTGGCTGGGCATCTCCTCTAGGGTGAACACACACGAATCCTCAGCCTGCTGCTAACCCGAGGGTGACAGACTCGTGCTGAGCACTGCTCGAGCTCAACAAGCTCCTAACCCTCCTGTGTTTTAACCCTGCAAGCCTCTTGGGTGGCTGCAAAAGTCACACATGCTCATACCACAGACCAAGAAACCGAGGCTTGGGGTGTTCAGTGACCCCCAAATCACGCACTAGTGGGTGGCCAAGGCAGGAATGCGTCCAAGCTGTCTAGACTGAGATGGCCCTGTCAGTGCTCTTACCGCCTCGCTGTCCCTGGTGGGCTGCGGCTGCACCAAGTGTGGCATCTGACTTTGTAGACCCTCTGAACACAGGGGCTGTGCTTGTGTTGTAGACACTGTGGCTCACTGTGGACCCTCCACCCTAGGGAGGGGGAGGGGAGCCCCAAAGCAACCCTCCTCCTGCCTAGCAATCTCCTTCCATGGCCCCAGGCCCGTTACTAACCTAAGGAGGAGACCAAGACAAGTGTGAACACAGATCAATTATTACCTAAAATCTGCTACAACTCCTGGTGCCTTTCACCAAGGGAACCTAGGACAAGTGCTTGTCATCTGGCCTCGGGGACAGCCAGACCTCACTGGAGAAGGGACAGGAAGGGACGCTGAGCAGGGGCCAGACACAGTTCCACATGTCTTTTCGTGTCTGTGCTTTCTTCAGTTTTGAGACCATTTCGGGGAGGACGGGGCTGGCGCTGCCCTGGCTATTTACTGGGGAAGGGGACAGGTGAGGCACCACCCCATTCTCCAGGGGCATTTAGGCAGTAAGAGACGCAGAGCTGCTTCTGACCGTGCGCCAGCGTAAAGGCGGTCGGGGAGCTCGGGGTGGGGGTGACAGGCAGCACAGGCGGGAGGCCTGCGTGGCCAGAGCCTCCTGCTGTGGAGAACGGGCTCCGGGCCCCTCTGTGCATCTGTGCCCGGGCTTCTAATGTGCAGCGCTGCGCTCAGAGCCGAGTCCTGTCCTAGACCCAGCTAGGGAGTAACAGCCACGGAGACTGGCTACGGCTGCTGTGCGGGAATCAACTCCTCAAACACTCACGCTGTCTTAGAGGAGACTGGCGCTCGTCGAGGCCCTGCAGCAGGGGCGGGGCCGGGACTGGAACCTGCAGTCTGACGCCAGGGCCCGGTCCCTGAGCACAGACGCTGCCTCCCTGAGCTGCCGCTCACCTTATCTGTCACCACTGAGCACCTAATGTAACGCAACGGCACAGCTCCCGTCCTCAAAGCTCAGGTCCTGATGCGAGACTCGCCAAGGCCCGCGCACTCCCAGCCTTCAACTCGAGGTTCAGCGCCCCCACTTCTTGCCTGCTTTTTCCGCCCGGCCCCTAAATAGGGCTTGAGACTCAGCAGCACACACAGGCTGTGCACAGCAACTGTCAGATTCGATTCTCATCCAGGCTGTCAGTTCCCGAGAGAAAAACGCCAGCTCCGCCTCCCGCTGCGTGCTGGCCTGGGCCCTTGGGAAACCCTGTGCGGCTGGCTGGGCCAGGCCAGGCCGAGACCCCACATGCTGCACAAAGGAGAGCGGGTTCTCATTCAGACCCCACTCCTGCGCCTCGGCAGGCCCTGCTGCCTACAGTCTCCCTTGGGGTTTAGAGTACAATTCTCAGGCCCAGAGGGCCGGGTTTGGTGGCTGGAGCGTGTGGCCTGGGTCCCGCCCTGCCACAGGACAGCAGCCCTCAGTGATGCCCAGGTGATGGTCGTGCAACAGCGCCCGCCTGGGTATCCCCCACTGTGGCTCCTCTAAGGCCTGGGGAAGTGGGGTGTGGTCCTGCCATGTGTTCCCCAGGCCTCTCTCCCGCTCAGTGTGGTCTGGATCTTGGGCCAAGTCCCTCATCGGTGTGACCAGCCTGTCACAGTTTCGGCACCCAACTCCACGTGCTTTGTGCGCTGACCCCTCACATCCCCGCTGCTGGAGTCACTGTGTGCTGCCTGGGTCGGCTCAGGTCAGCCAGCTGACAGGCAGCGGGTCATGGGGTGACCCAAGGGTCCCCACATCCAGTGGCTTCTGCAGCACAGCCTGTCCCCACAGCTGCCCTCATTTCAGTCTCCCCTAAATGTCCTCCCACTTCCTCCTGCCACATGGCCCGAAGGGAAACCAAGATCCTTGGAGACCAGAATCTGTAAAAACACTGCCTTCATCAAAACATTTTCCAAGATTTCTCCAACCTCTGCCTGGACTCTGACAGTGCCAGGGTTACCCAAGATGCCTACTGTTCCTTGGCACAGTTCTGTGCCACGGATTTGTGCTTAGACCCAGTCAATGCTGCTGCCCTCCTCTGGTCAGTGGTGCCCTCTGGATGCACAAAGGAAGTGGCCCTGCCTCGCCCAAGACCAGTGTCCTGGGCTACGGCTTGCCAGCTGTGTGAGCAAGCTAGCTTTCTCTGGGCCTAAGCACATTGCCCTAGCTAAAGGTCCCCTGCAAACAACTGCAAGCACAGGCCCCCACAGGGTGAGTCTGGGCTGCTGTCATCTGAGCAGAGAAGGACCACCCAGTCACGTGCAGGCTGCGGGTGCTTCTGGAGAAGGACTGGCAGAAGCCCAGCGAATTCCAAGGGATCACAGCTGGGTGCCGGGCACTGGGCTGTTTCCCAGGTGTGTGTGGAAGGAAGCAGCATCAGAACTGCAGAGACCAGTGCCCTGGCCTACTACCATCTTCCTCACTTCTTGAAATCCAACCTAGGCTGCAGGGACCACAGCCAGACACAGCGCACTCACCAGGCTCGTGTCGTGTTGCTCACATCCTGAGAATCTTCTTACAGCTCGACTCCAGGAGCAGCCAGGGCTTTGAGACCTGTGAAAAGGAACTCAAGATTAGCAGCAGGACGAGCTGGGTGCCCATCTCTTTTCCAGCAGGCTTGGTCACCGGAGACTGGATGGAGTCAGGAGGACGAAAAGCCAAGGGCTTGGTGTAAGGACCGAGCTGCTTACTAAACAAACACAATGTCTCCAGCTCTGTGGCGATTCTGAGACAGGGAGAGGGGGAAAAAAAAGCCCCTAACCCTGGGTGAGTCAGCAGTGACGGCAGGCAGGCCGTGTGGAGAGTGGCACCAGAGGCAGCATTGCGCCTCCGCTCAGCGTCCTTTGTCCCTTCGAGTCATCTGAGCTGCTCTCCTGGCAGCAGCGGACTGTGCATGGTGCCATGTTGGTGAGGGTGGAGGGGAAGCTCGATGCTCAGGCCTCGAGTGGGAAAGACACTGATATCCTTAAACAAAGGCCTTGAAGTGTGTTTATATCCCCAGTGGCTCCTGCCAAGCGCACCTTGTATGCTTTGAATGTTCCTCGGGAGAGGGGCAGCCGAGGGGCCAGGCCCCTGCCCAGCTGAGGATGTGTGCAGCATGGCAGAAGGAGGCTGAGCACTGCAGGCTTTGCAGCCAGCTGGGCAGAGGCTGCCTGTGGTGCCAGAACTGCCGCAGCCACACTGCTGACCATGCCAACCTCGTTCCCTGGTTCCCTGGGCCCTGGTGCCTGCAGAACAAAACTTGTTTTTCCTTGTTTCCCTAAGAATTCTCAGGTGAGCTGAGGTTTCAGTATCCATCTGTCCCTGCTCTCAAAGGAGCGCCTTTGGCTGGGGTGAAGAAAATCTTTGTTGTGTTGGTTTGTGTTTTCTGAGAACTTGCCATGCACCGTGAACCTGAGCTAGATTCTTGCCAGTCAGGGTGAAATCACAGCCCTAAAGACTTCTGGGAGTCAGGACTTGCATTTTAAGAAGTCCCTCGTGGGCACACTGGAGTTTGTAAGGTGCTGGTTTGTGCTGCTCTTCCTCAGGAAGGAGGAAAGCACCTTCTGCAGGGGAAGGTGCTAGCCAAGAGATGCCAGCCCCTCTGCTATGCCGTGCAGTCGGTAAGTGGCGCAGCAGGTCCAAAGCCGAGGAACTGTGACTGGAACCTTGTTCTTCTCCTCTGTACTCTCCAGGGGGCAAGCCTTGGGGCAGGGTCCCAGATCACAGAGCACAGGCAGGGAGGCACTGATGCTTGAGGCAGCTCCTACCCACCTCTGCCAAGTGCCACAGGATTTCCCTGGCAAAAATTCCAGACCTCCTTCCGACAGGGGGATTCAAACTTCTGCATCAAATCCCAGTGGCTGATTTTGAGTCCAGAGAGTTTAGTTTTCTTGCCTGCTGCCCTCAGAACTAACCATCCAGCTGGAGAAGGTGTCCCAAGAGGCCAGCTGACCTGAAGCTCACCAGCTCCCAACTTACTAGGGACTAATCATTAGCCCTATTCTGAGGAAACGGAGGCACAGAGTGGCCGAGTAGCCCTCCAGAGGCCACATAGCTTGCAGCGTGCACTAACTCATCTTTGATTTCAAGTCCAGACGTATGACCAAGGTAGTTCCACTTTTCCTGATGGGGAAGGTACTTCCCAACACAGGCTATGACGCTCTCAACTAGGGTCACCTGTTCTCTATGTTCCCACTGCACTCTTCGCATGAGCTGGGTTCACTGAACAGACTCATGGGCTGAGGGGGAGATGGTCCACAACTCTCCTAGGGTGCCTCTCTTAATATCAACTAGCCAGCTGACATTCTTGGCTGACCGACTAGCCAAGTCCCCCTTGGGTATCAAGATGGACTGGTTCCAGGACTCCCTGTGGACACTAAAGCCCTTGTATGCTCAAGTCATTCACATAACAAGGCACAGGATCTGCACAATCTATGAAATCCTCCTCTAGATGATGTATCCTCCAATATGATGTAAATGCTACATCAGTAATTGCTGCGCTGCATTGTTTAGAGGATAATGACAGGAATAAAGTCTGTTCGTGTTTGCTACACACAAAGTGTTTTCCCAAGTATCTTCTATCAGCAGTTAGCTGTGATGTGGAGCCCAGGGGTGCCAAGGGCCAGTGTGTGTTGCTCGTTCTCGTGCACTTGCTCCCAGGGCCGATGAGCTCCTCTGAGGCACGCAGAGTGATGTGACTAAGAGGCAGCACTAGTGTTTGCTATAGGAACGTCCCCAGCACGTCGATGCTGGGCACCCCTGAGGCCAGCTGCTGCAGCATAGTGCCCTGGCACAGCCAGGAGTCTGCTACGCACACGCCACGCACTTCACACCCTTCCCTGGGCTCCAGGTGGCCACATGCCATCTTGGGAGGCTGCTGCTTAAGTCTCCCTGATCTCTGTGCAAAGAGACCACGCTACACGGTCCACCTTGGCGATGAGGTAGCACAGCCTGCACTGTGCTCCTGAAGGAGGTGTCTGTCCCTACCTGCCTCTAGAACCCAGCACTAACCCTTTTCAAGCTGCCTCCCATCCAGTTACTTTACAAGGTCCTAAAGTTACTGCTTGTTTTATTTCTCTTCTTCCCTCCCCTTTCTGTGGTACTGGGGATTGAACACAGGACCTTGGCACTGAGATACACCTCCAACCCTTTTCATTTTGAGACAAGACCTCACTAAGTTTTTAAATTGCCTAGGCTGAGCTTGAATTTATGACCCTCCTGGCTCAGCCTGCTGGAGTGCTGGGATTACAGGTGTGTGCCACTATACCTGGCTCTCTCTTTTTTAATTTAAACTTCAGCACGCCATTTTAACTTTGCTGTTACCTTTATTAGGACTGTATTTTGTTACAGTCTTGCATGAGTTGTGAGGGTGCCACTGCAATCCCTGGACACCCAAAGCTCTGGATTTTGCAGTTTTTCAGGGTGCAAGGCTGTCTACAATGTCCATATCATTTTATAGCAGAATTACCTACACAGTGGAAGTTACATTGTAGGCACCTATATCTATATATAACTAAATGTACAATGTGTATAGCTGTTAAATATGGATCATGTAATCACTGAATATATTTAATATTAAGCTACTCATTTATTGAGTGCCTGCACGCACCTGAGACACCTGACCCTGTGCTAAGGACCAGATAGACATCAATAAGTAAACCCAGCCTCACCCTTAAGAATAGTGTAGAAAAGCAGAAAGACACACTGTATCCAGCATGTGAGAAGAACAATGCACCAGGAGGAGGCCTGCGGCAGGCACAGCTGCCAGACTCCTGCGTCTGCTGCTGAAGGTCACCTTGCCCAGAGGTCTCCACCGCCTTCCTCTCCTCTACATGCCCCACTGAGGGTCCGGGGCTGGGTGCCTGCCTGTGCCACCTCTGGCCCATGGCTGTGCCTTGCCAGTTCTCTCCTGCAACTCTCTGCCCTCCCTCTCCCCTCCTTGGCAGGGACAGCCGCCACGGGACTGACGAGGCGAGGCAGAGGTGAGATGTGTAGATGCATGGAGCTGCGTGGGCAGGTGGGTGAGCAGCTCTCGTCATCAACAGAACCTGTTCTTCTCCCCAGCAGATGAGGCAGCTGCGTGAGCACAGAGAAGCTGAGTGAGTGGCTAGGGCTGCACAGCAAGTAGTTCTCAGAGCTGGGAGTCTCTCAGAACCAGCCATGTTCTCTGTTCACCCTGACCGCAGACTTGCACTGTTCCCACCACACAGGCATTTAGTCCTCACCAGCACGGTGGGGGTACGCTGCCTCGCCACACACCACACAGGCTCAGCTCCGCAGTGGGGACAGCAGCTCTCCATGGGACATGCGGGAAAGGATGCTCCAGTTAGTGCCCCGGGCCAAACGAGCACACAGCTTGCCTTCCTGGCTCAGGACTCTGCTCACAGAAAACAAGAGTGCCGTGGAGCAAAACCCAGGGAGGAGAAAAGCTCCCCACCCTCCCTTTGGCCTAGTCCACGCCTGCTCCACTACTAGAGGAGAGATGTCCTTCTCATCGTTTCCAGTACAGTGGCTCATTCTGCTCCACTTCATTCAGCAAACACTTAGTAGCCCAGTGAGAACCCTGCTCTGGTAAAGGGTCATCATGGCCTGCGTACTGAAGGGAGGCATTCAGCCAGTGTAGGCTGGAAACAAGAGAGGAAGGTTGAGGGCAAAGAAGGTGAAACTCATAACCTCTTTCTGGGGAGCCTGAACTTGCTCATCCCTCTGCAGGCCGGAAGGATAGTCTTCACCGCTGTCTGTACTCCAGACAGCAGTCCTCCTTGAACACAAAAACAGCTTCTAATTCCAAAGAGCAGCACTAGCGAGGAGTTAGTCCAGTTGCTTCTACCTCCTGGACACAGTTCTGTGCCAGGCCTTGGGCTGGGCCTCTGTCCTCCGTCTCCTGTCTCTTCCACAGCGCCTCTGGTGAGCAGGCACTCATGGACCCATTTTACAGATGGAAAACCTGGATCCAAGTGCCATTAAATAAGCGATGAGCCTGCAGCCCTGGGGTTTGAACTCAGCCTAACTGAATAGTTACCCATTCCCCAACACTGTCTCTTCAACTTTGACCCCATGCCTGCAGTTTCTGGCAAATGGCGCTGTACCTGCCACCAACTTGACCGAGCCCCCAAATAAGGCCCCTAGAGCACAGAAAGTCCTGACCGTGAGAGCAGACTGGGGTGCAGAGGAATGGGCTGGCATTATGAACACTGGACACTCTCCTCACACTCATTCCTATTTACTTGAAATTGCTCCCATCTAAGTTGTTGCACTCCCTCGGTGCTCTCGGAAGACGTGCCCTGCACTGGGCAGGAGTGTCTGTTCTGCTCCACGCTGTCTGCTCTTTCTACGGGGCAGTGACTGTGGGCAGGAGATCAGGTGGGCTCTGCCTCACTAGGCTGGAGACAAGGACATTATTGTGCTAACCCAAGCATGGTACAGCAGGGGCAGGACTGCGGCATGAGAGCACAGCACCGGAAAGGAGGGCCGGAAATGGGCAGCACACCAGGCCCAGCAGGGGTGGGTGGCCCATGGTGGGAGCAGCAGGGTGGACTCCGAGCTTGGAAGCTGGC